TTTTAATTTATGACAAACAATTTCTTTGACCTTATATATATATATACTGAAAGTTGGCATTTTAGCCTCTTTATAAAAATATGTTGATATAGCACAAATTCATTGCTCGGATATCATAAAATTAATAGTACATTATTAATAGTCCTCATAAAATTATTCAGTGGCATATCTCTAATTCGATGGGGTTGAAGTATGCTATTGTGATACCAAACTAGAGAGGGTCTAGTCTCTAAAATTAATACTACATTGTTTAGTCCTAAATAGTTCTTGATATGATGGATAATAATAATAACAAATTACACTTTTAACTCATAATTTGATTCTTTTTACTTTGGTTCCTAATTTGAACAATGCCAAACTGCGGAATTTCAATTTGGCCATTGTATTTAAGGGTTCGGACGGTCTCCAGTACAGATCTGGGATAATTTGGTCCAGTTCGGTTCATTGAGCTCACTTTTGAGTCTATTTCAATAATCAAAACCGTTCATATTTTAAAATTTATTGAGTACATTATTCTTGTAAAAAATTACGTCAATCGGATTATAGATACTATGTATTCGGATAACTTTTGCTTGGAAAAAAATGGATGGTCTGAAAGCGGTTCATAAAAAAGTGATCCGAATGCATAGTATCCGTTATCCGATCAACGTGATTTTTTACGGGAATAATATACTCAACAAATCCTAAAATATAAATGACTCGGATTATCGAAAAGGGACCTAATGGGCCGAACTAGACCCTCCAGATGGTGGACTAGAGGCAAACCTCAGCCGTATTTTATTTATTATTAATTTTTTTAAAATCGTGATTTCAAGACTTCAAAAAACAACTTAAGTTTTTAAAATAAATTAAAAACAACTCTATTTGATTTTGAGTTTTGAAAAATAATTTTATAAAATTTTAATTAGTGTTTTTATATTTTTAGTATTTTTTAAATATTTTAAATATTTTTTTTACTTTTTAGATCCACTTAATTTTGATATACTTAAAAGTATATAATTTGTACAAAAAAAAATTTAAATACGAAAATATATTATATTTTTATATTTTTGTATTTGGTGAAATTTTTAAAGTTTTTCTTGTAAATATTATATTTTTGAACTGTATCTAAAATAAAATAAAAATTACATAAAATACTAAAAATTTCACTTCAAACAAAAAAAAAAATGAAAAAAAAAATCAATTTTTAGAGTGTTTATGTTTAGAAAATATGGAAAAATAAAAAGTTCTAAACAAGGTGTTAATATTTAGAAAATAATTTTTGTAAGAATATGTTTGCTATCCTAGACTTAATTACCCAGGTTTTTTTGATAGGTGATTGTGTGGTGAAAATTAAATTTATGAAATGTGAGATCTATAAGTATAATAAATCTAAATACAAGATCATAATTTTGAATAATTTCTGAATTGATAAGTCTGAATTCATAATATTATTAATTTTGTAATGATTTGGACCAAATAAATAAATAAACTTGACGGAAAAGGACCAAACGATCTCAACCGTCATCAATGCATTTGTCCAATCGACATTAAACGGCTTAGAAACATATATGGGCTATGTTTGGTGTAGGCTATTTAGTTATTTTAATTATAAAAAGATATAAGATTTTTTAAGAAAATGAGTTAAATACTATTTTTTAATTTTTAATTTATTTTGAGTCACATCATCTTTTATATTTTTTTTGTATATTTTTTCAAAAAAAGGTACAAAAAAAAAATCTAAAAAGTCAACTTTTAATTATCTTCTCAAAATAACCCAAAATAAGTTAAAAAGTCAATAAGATAAAATGTCATATTCAAATCATAATTATTTTATTTTTTTCTCAAAAAAATCAAAAAACTATCCTAAACGAGGCTTTTTAACATTAAGCTAAAATAGTCAAAAAACTAAAAAGTCAATCCACGTCCCAAACGAAGGCAATGACAATATATTGTTCTGTATATTCTCTAATAAGTAATATCGAAAATTATTCAATGCCACAAACACATTTTCTCTCTTGATTTTGATAGGGTAAATTACACTCATCTATTTGAAACTTGAAAAAAATATAATTAATTTTTCACTTTTAATAACAAAAATAAAAAAATTTAAAATTGTATTTGAATTTTAAATTTGTGTAAGAAAAACATCCAAACAAAGCCCAAGTTAAGGATTGTCTACAACATGGGAATGAAGCAAGTTCCCAAATTTTTTTCTCATTTTTTCCACTAAAAGACAAAAGTTTTGTAAAACCAAAAAAAACACATCCAAACAAAATATCACATCTAATCCCATAATCATTTCATTTTTTCTCTCACAAATATCACATCCAACCACATAAAAATCCAACTATCTTCCCAAACACCAAAAATTTTTTATCTCATAAAAACCTACATCTAATAAAATCTACATAAAACTCACTTCCCAAACACCATCTTGTTTTTTTTTTAAAGTAATTTTATACTGATTTAGTTAGTTACTGATTTGATATTTATCATATCATTAAAATTGCGTTTTGTTAGAAATTTAAAATTTTATTATTACAGAACACATCAATAATAAAATAAAATTTATTAACTTGTATAAAAGTACATTTGTTATCAGATATTTTTTAAAAAGAAAAAAAGAAGAAGAACAATTAAGAGAATATTGCAGGATAGAGGACAATGCATCAAAATAATTTAGAAGCAAAACCACCAATAAGAGAATATTAGAGTACAGATGTATCTCAACCATACATTGTTTTTTTTTAAAAGTAATTTTATACTGATTTAGTTAGTTACTGATTTGATATTTATCATATCATTAAAATTGCGTTTTGTTAGAAATTTAAAATTTTATTATTACAGAACACATCAATAATAAAATAAAATTTATTAACTTGTATAAAAGTACATTTGTTATCAGATATTTTTTAAAAAGAAAAAAGAAAAAAAAGAAGAAGAACAATGAAGAGAATATTGCAGGATAGAGGACAATGCATCAAAACAATTTAGAAGCAAAACCACCAATAAGAGAATATTAGAGTACAGAGGACAGTGCCCATAAGATAATATCGGTGGAATTGTAAATTTGTAGAAAAAAATAAAAATAATTATAAAAATATAAAAATGTAAGTTGGATAGTATAACTTAAATAGGATAGTGACTTTTTGATTTTTTAACTTTTTTAGGTTATAACAAACATGGCCTAAGTTTACGTTTACAATTATTTTTTTATTTTATTTCTTTTCACTAATTTTCAATTTTCCAATGATATTCCATATATACATATCAATTATTACATATTTGTTGCTCTATACAGAAGGACAATATTCATGCTTTGCATGAGGTGTTTGGATGATGGTTTTCACGACCCAATTTCGTCCATTGTGATTTGCTTTTTTGAATTCATGGTTGTGATTTTACCAAATATATAATATCAGTAGAGGGACAAAGGATTGTGCAAAATATCACTTGATGCGTTAAAATTGTTCAATTCGTACTGATTTGCCTATTAATTAGGAATTAGTTTGATTCGTGATTTAAAATTTATAATTTACTTTTGAAATTGTATCGTCCTTTCATAGTTAATATATATATTTTTCTCCCAATAAAATATCGAAATAAAAATCAGTATGAAATAGATGTGAGATGTAAAACTGGATGTAACTTAGAGTTATTTATATGAAAAATATTATATAAAATCAATTAGCGTTATATATGAAAAATATTATATGAATGCTTGATAATTATTTAAAATTATTTTTCTACCAACTAATAAGTTGGAACTATCCAAACCATGATTTGGTTACACATGTCAAATTTATCAATCCACCATTTACAGTTTGATTTTAATTTTATCCTCAAATCACACCGAATTGCACCGAGCAAACCCCTAGTATGACCGATAAAGCTGGGCTTTTTTATTTTTAGTTTTTTAGAAAATTACACTGACCACTCTTGAGATTTGGAAGTAATACAAATAATCTTACAATTTTGAAATAATTACATTAGCCTTTCTTTTATTAAAGGTAAAATGATAAAAATTAATTAAAACGGTATGAATACACAATAATAAACAAAATAAAATAAAATAAAATAAATTCAGTGTAAAAAAAATGACAACAAATTTTCATCCAAATGATTAATGAAATATTGATAAAAATGGGACTAAGTGTTATGTAAATTAAAATCTTAGAGTTTGGCTTCCCTTCTGTCAGACTGGAGGGTGTTGTTGGGCTCATGGGGGCTCACCATGGGTCCCGTTGTGATAATTTGAACCGTTCATGTATAGAACTCGTTGAATACTATATACTTGTAAAAAATCATGTTGATCGGATATCGATAGTTATGTGATCAAATTTGTTTTGTATAAAAAAAAATGGACGGTGATAAAATAAACGGTTGACAGAAATCTGATCCGATGAAATATCTATCGATATCTGACCAACGTGATGTTTTACAGACATATAGTAGTTGACGAGTTCTATACATTGAACGGTTTGGATTATCGAAACGGGACTTGTGGTAGGCCCTCACGGGCCCAACAACACCCTCAAGTCCAATCACGGATTGAGGGAAGTCAATCCCAAAATGTTAATAGGTCTCAATGTAATTACGTTCAAATCATGAGACTTACTATAATTTTTTCCAAACTTTGTGGGAGGTTAGTGCAATTTACCTCTTTTTTATAGTAGCAATTTTGATGCTTTTAGGGTGGGACAAAGTGAAGTATCAAAAAAGTTGGGGAACTGAATGAGGTGGAGAGACACGAGATTTGTAAGAGAGCTACAAATGGCAAAACAATCAGCCGGACAACTCATTTTGCACATTGGGCCATCCCTGAGCCAACAAACACCCAATGTATATTTCATTACACCCCCCCCCAAATCAAAATCCTATATATATATCCAATTCCTTTTTTCACATTTCTCAGTCACTAGTAGAAACAGAGATAATAACCAATTTTGGAAATCTTAATCCACAGCTCTCCCTCTCTCTCTCTCTCACTCTCTCTCTCTTTCTTAACAGTGATTGAAATGCAAACAATAAAGGAGGAGAAAATTGTGTTGATTGAAGATGATATTTCTGCTGCTGCTGTTGCTGGTGGAGGAGCTTTTCTTGAGGAAGAAAAGGCATTGAAAGTTTTGGCAGTTCAGGAAGAACCACCAATGAAATTGCTTGATAATGACTGTGGAAATGGGAGTGGTGGTGGTGGTGGTGGTGGAGGAGGAGGAGGAGGAGGAGGAGCTTTTCTTGAGGAGGAAGAGAAGGCATTGAAAGTTGTGGTAGTTAAAGAAGAACCACTAGTGATAGTGCTTGATGATGATGATAGTGAATGTGGAAGTGGTGGTGGTGGTGGTTTACCAATTTCACCAACATTGGTGCCAAGCCCTACGGAGAGACTCTTTGAAGTAGGAGGACCACCTCCATTTCTGAAGAAGATATTTGAAATGGTGGAAGACCCTCTCACAAATGAGATCATATCATGGACTAAATTTAGGAAAAGCTTCATTGTCTTCAACCCTCCCCAATTCTCTGCCAATCTTTTGCCCAAATACTTCAAGCACAGCAACTTCTCAAGCTTCATTCGCCAGCTCAACAGCTATGTGAGAGAATCAATCTCTCTCTCTCTCTCTCTCTCTCTCTCTCTGTATATATATATATAATCTACCTCTTGTTTTCTATTCTGATAAATTTGATGTCTGTATTATATGGGTTTTGCTTAATGTTTGTATTTGTGGATCAACCCTTTTTTGAAGTCTTTTATGGGTTATTTTCTGAATTTCGGATTTATTTTTGTGAATTTTGTTTCTATAATCTCTCTTCCTAATGGGTTTTGTTCAATTTACTAGTTAGTTCAACAAAAAAAAAAAAATTATAATCTCTTTTAAATTTTTGGGTTTTGCAATGGGGTTATATGTGGAATAATTTTGATGGGTTTTGTTTGTATAATCTCTCTTCATAATGGGTTTTATTTTATTTTAATGGCTATTTGAATTTGTATACTTGTTGGGATTAATATTGGTGTCATTCAACTCAAAAATCAATTGGCAAAAAATTTTAAATAGAGTACTTTCAACAAATTTAACATGACATTAAAGTTCGGTCTTGAACGGTGGCCTCCAGTGAGTCAAATCTTTGCTCAAGTTCATTTCAATATCACCTCTGCATTTGATTTTGCCACATATAAAGAGAGTGGTAGAATCTTGTCTCATGTTTGCTTATTTATGCCATCCAAGTTTAGTTCCACCCATTACCCCTATTGGTTTTGGGTTGAATTCCTCCAATAAATCTAACAATAATTTTTTTCTCTTAAATTGATTTTGTACATTACTATACCTAGGTTTTGCTGTTTGCATATCTAATCATGCATTGGATCTAAATTTTTTATTTTTATTTTTTGGGGTTATAATTGTTAAAGGGTTTCAAGAAGATTGGTTTAGACACATGGGAATTTGCAAATGAAGGGTTTCAAGGAGGCAAAAAACATTTGTTGAAAACCATCAAGAGGAGAAAACGAAATCCCCAAAACTTGCAACAAGAAGGAACCATGAAGCTTTGCTCTGATTCACCACAACTCGGCGTCGAAACTGAGCTAGAGAAACTCAGGAATGATTGGAACAAAATAAAAATGGAAATCCAAAAATTGAAAAAACAACAAGAGATCACAGAGAGCTGTTTGGTTGCTGTGAATGAGAAGATAGAAAACATAACCAAATGTAGGCAACAACAAATATATGCTTTCATAGCCAAAGCATTAGCCAACCCTGCAATGAACAAATTTATCAATCTTCTGAGGCAGAAAAGAGAGATCTTCAATGCCCAAATTGCAAAGAAACAGAGACTGGCGAGCCCACAACGACGCAACGAAGCCATGGATAGTAATGGGAGGGAGCAAAATGAGGAGTTGACAAGAATTGAATCAGAAGTGGAAAAAACACTGAAAAGAGAGCTTTGCAATGGCCAAATTGAGAAGAAACAGACATTGGGGAGCCCACAGCGCGAAAACAACTCGGTGGAAGCCATGGATAATGATCGGGAGGAGTTGGCAATAATTAAATCAGAAGAGAAAACACTGTTTCATGCTTCAATGGATGGTGAGGGAAGTACTAGTCTGGTTCAAAAGGCTTCCAACGTTGTGAATCCTGGATCGGTTAGTCTGGATTTGAACTTGGAGAATTATACTTTCTTGCAGAAATTGATGGAAGATGAATTTGAAGCTCAAGATGAGGCAGAGTTGAAGCAATACCATTCTAAGATTGTTCTTGAATGGGAGAATTTGATTGCGAAGCCACTGGTTGAAGAAGTGGAAGTGGATTGTGTTGAATCATCCAAGCATTGATGTCAATGGTGTTTGAGGTATATGATCTTCTTGTTCATTCTTCAATTTTATTAAGCATTGTCATTTGGTTTGTAGCTGCAGAAAATAAAATTAAAAAAAAACATGGCTTTGTTTTATTTGTTTTTGCAAAATAGAAAAAGAAAAAATGTTTCGGACGCATATATTTCAAAAAAAAAAAAAAAAAAAAAATGTTTGGCTAGTTACCGGACACGGGTAGGAGAGTGGCAGAGAATGGTTGCTAGAAGGAATGGGAATTTGTTTCCTTTAAATTTTGGAAATTTTGGAAATTTTGAAACTGTTTGTCATTTTTCTTTTAAATAACAAAATATAAGTTCTCAAACATGTTTCTGTTTCCAGTGTTACAATTTTTAAAAATAGAAAACATAGGCAGCCCACTTGCCTCTTGTGACTTTTCACTTGTTTTTAAAATATATATTTTCTTTAAAATACGTATATACCAAATATATTTATTATTTTTGTAAATAATAAACGTTACCAAACAATACCTAAAATGAAAGTTTTGTTGTTAATGTTACACAAAGTATAGTCACATACTTACTGGGCTTCTTTTGCTACAACAGGTGAAAGAAAGTATAAGGTGTAGATGGATCACCCAATTGATAGGTTTTTTGGGTTTTCTTTGACAAACAGCAGCAACAAATTAGTGTTGATATTTAAGAATTTATGACACCATTTCTCTCTAACTTAGGTACTTTTCATTATATATTTGGTCGAAAAAAAACATTGATGTTTAAAGTTGTTATTTTGTAATTAATATTGCTATAAATGCTGTGATACACTTTCTCTCAACTTAGGTACTTTTCATTTCATATGTGGTTGATTCCATGAGGTTTGAAGTTGCTATTTGGTTCATATTTATGGCCTGTTTGGTTGCGTTTTCATTTTCTGAAAGAAACTTATGTCCAAAAATTATTTGCAATAATTTTTTTTAAAAAATAACCAACTTTTTAGGAAATACGAAAAAGGTTTTATTTTTTAATTTTTCAAAATTGTTTTGAGTACAAAAATGAAACAATAGGTGTTTTCTTAAGAAAATGATTAAGACCTCTAAAACATCATTCTTAAATTTAACCCAATGACATAAATTGTCAAATATCATTTGTTAATTTGCTTAAGAATTAATTAAGACAGATTTTGGTTTGGGGTGTATTAAAAAAGTATACTTTTTTATCTTTTTATTTTTTTGGTCATATCACTTTTTTATTTTTCTGTAAATTTTTTCATAAAAAAAAATTCATATATTTAAATCATTTTAAATAATTTCATGTCATTATAAATAAATTTAAAGAGATATTTTAGGTATCTCACATCTCTCCATGTTTTTGAAATTTTTATTAATTTCAAAGCACCAAAACAAAGAGCAAAAGTGTCTTTTCCTTTCATTAAAAAAAACATGCTTTAATCATTGCAAACTAGTGTTCTTGAACATTAATGTTATGATATGACACTGGTTACCAAATAATCAAATGTTATACATTTGGGTTCTAAAAAATTATGGGTTATATTAGAGACTTTAAATAATTTATTAAAAAATTTATCAAATTTTTCATATAAATGTGAAATTTACACACTTTTAAATTTGTGTGAATGTCATATTCATATCAGAGATTTAACAAAAAATTTAATAATTTATTTAAGATACGTAGCATTTTTCAAAAACTATTCCTAAAACATCCCTCTTGTGAGAGACAAGATTGATGTGTCTGTTTCCGGGATGTATGTGTCACTTTCCTAGATAAAATATGTTTGTTTAACTAGAAAGTTCAAACAAATTAACCAAATTTTGTCCAGTTTGTGGGTCTTCTGAGTAAAGCAAAGATGTGACTAAAGGGGTTTCAGATTGGATTTTGTTGGCCAAATGAAAGCAATAACAAACAAGAAAGAATAATAATTAGTTTACTGAAATAAAAAGCTCTTTGACTAGAGCTTCTTAGCAATTTCAACCAAGATTAGTCAAGAATGTTTTGAAAAAGGTAATTAAAAATTACTTTTTAATTTTTTTGTAAAAGAAGGAAATGAGTTTTTTTTCTTAATTTTTTTTTTTTCTAAATTTTCTAACAAAACACAATGCCAATAAAAAATCTTTACTAACAATTTTTTTTTTTAACGTTGGTTACGATACTAAAACAAATGTGTTAAAGATTATGTTGGTGATCATGATGATGGTTATACGTGGCAGTGGCGATGTCAATGATGGGAAGAAGGTGATGGTGAGGTAGTGGTGACGATTGTAATAGTTTAGTGACATTAATAAAATTTTATTTTAAAAAATATTTTTCACCTTTCAAAATTGAAAGTATTTTCTATTTAAATAAGTTTGTTTTTCATTAATGATGATTTCCATAAAAAAAGATTTTTTTGTCATACCAAAATTTTAAAAAATAAAATTATTTAAGTAGAAAATAATTTTTAATTTTGAAAGCTGAAACAAACAAAATGTTAATGCCATTCAAAAAGACCACAAATGCTAGTCCTCTAATAACAAAAACCAAGCACACCCAAACACAACCAACAGAAATTCAATGATTAGAATCTGGGAATATGTACAAATATCAACTGTTGAACTGACTTTTGTCCTATAATTTTCTGTCAAAACATTAGCCAAATAGACAAAAATACACCAAATCCTTAATAACCATCAAAATCATTGCACAACAAGAAGATGATTTTTTTGCATCTTAATCATGTGTAATTTATTTCTTGAAAGTGAGTTTACCGTTAGCCCTGCTGACCCCCATGGATGTCGATGATGAAGATGATGATATGTTGGACTTATCAAATTCCCGTTTATCCTCAGTGAATGCCTTAGTTAGAACTTCTTGTAGTTCCATATACCGCTGCTTCTTCAGTTGTCGCTCCTCGTGAGTTTCATTGTCTAAGTAAGCTAGCTCAGACAAGTCATCAGCGTCCATGATCTTATTGAGAACTTCCGAACAACGAGGGAAGAAACGTTTCCCTAGTTCCACTGTCCACATACAAAACACAGAAAGTATGAGGCTTTTTTACAAATGTCGGGATGCTAAACACAATTTGGTTTAATTTTTGAAAACTGTTTTTTCTTAGATTTTTGTTTTTTGTTTTTGCTTTTTTTTTTTATAAACACGTATATGTGGATATTTATGCAGATCACTGTATAATATTTTCACCGTTCATATTTTAATTAAGTTGAATATATATTGGAGGAGCAATCAACTATGAGGCTAGTTCAGAATTTGTCTCATAATATCAGTATTTGTATTGCAATGTCCATAGAGTCAATTTAGTGAAAAAAAAATATTCTATAGAATTTTGAAATAAAATTGCACATTTGGACATCAAACTTTTTTTGGGTGGGTAATTTGGACATCAAACTTGTTCAACGATTATTTGTCCATACTGGATAATATTAACCTGTCAGGTATTTATACTCATATCATAATAAATAAAATAGAAGAAAAAAAAACCTCTACTCTGTTTGGTCTTTAGTGAACTTCTTTTAGATTTGTGTCAAATGTTTTGTACTTTTCTGGCATGTTTGATTGGAAGGATTAAAGCATGGGATTAGGATTATTAATCCGTGGGTCCAATCATCCTATGTTTGTTTTGACATTTTAGTTTAGGACTATTAATCCAATGGATAATTAATCCAACAAATTTGTAGGATTATTAGTAATGGGGTAGGGGTGGGATAGTTAATACCACACTAATTTGATAGGATTATTAATACCTCACTATTAGTATTGTGAATCAAACATGACCTTCAGGTCCATTAAATGACAAATGAGTTCAAAAAAACACTTTTTCCAAAAAAAAATTATTAGTTCTTTTTATTTTTCAGGACCGCCTAGTCTCGTAGAACCTAAAAATGTAAAACTTTTTGGGAATTTTTTTTTTTTCCACTAAACATAGAAAAAAAGAAAACAAAAAAGCTACTCAAAAAAGCAATTGCCAACATTTAAAATTCGAATTACCATTTATTTGTGAACCTTTAAATCTGAAAATAAAAAAAGTATCATTACCAGTTTTGGAGAGTGCTTTTAGCCTATTCAGATGCTCGTCTTTGATCTTGAAAGGTGCGTCATTCAAGTCCACAGTTGTCCTCTGGACACCAGGCATGTTCTTAGAGTTGATGCTGTACAATGGAAACTCAGAAGTGCCATCCACTTGAGCAATGTCCATTGCCACTTTTGCTTCCATGGGGAAAAGAAGTTTTGCTAATCCAACTGAGAAAAAGGGCATTTAATTAATAAAGTAATCATCATAATAAGCTGGTCTAGCAATACATATCCGATTTAACTAGAAATAAGAAGAATACCATAATGATTGTCCACGAGATTGAAAACAAATATAAATTGAAGACTTTATAGATCTTCACTCAACAGGCAGATTAATTGCGAGAATGGTGTAAAACTGATAAAAGTTGGACTAAATTTGCAAGTCATAGTGCAAAACTTACTTCTCACATATATATATATATATAGAGAGAGAGAGAGAGAGAGAGAGATTAATTGCGAGAATGGAGTAAAACCGACAAAAGTTGGACTAAATTTGCGAGTCCTAATGCAAAACGTACTTCTGAGAGAGACAGAGACACGGGGAGAGAGAGAGGAGAAAAACAGTTTTCCAGATGCAGATAACAGAAATACATCCTTCAATGAATATCTGAAAAATTGTTATAAACAGGCAATTCTCTCTCTCTCTCTCTCTCTAGTGGAAACCCCTTTTTCTTTTGTTCTTTTTTCCCATCTGGTAAAGCTTGTAGCCATGCAGAACCTCTTGATCTCCATGACGTACATTCATGTTACATCATACTGCAATCCTCTTTGTATGTTGTCAAATTAAGAATTTTTTATAACAATTTCAACCTTCATTTGCATTACTAGAGTTGGTCATAGTTCAAGTTGCAGAAGCGGTGATTGGTAAATAACATAAATATGCTACATAGTAATATAAGTGCATTAAAGGAAATGAAACGGTTTGAAGATTCTCATCATGGTAGTATTAGACAGAAACTATTAATATGTCAAATATCAAAAGCTCGAATGGAAAGCACCATCGTCACTCAAACTTAATAAGCTACGATTCGCTTAACCAGGAAAGGTAACATGTATTATCCAAAGGATAGAAGAAGAAAATTTTTGAGACAACAGAAAAATTTACCTCTATTTTCGAGGTACAACAACTTCATTCGCAGATCATCACCTGCCATAGCAAGTGAAACAGAAGCTTCTCCTAGTAATGGATCTCTTCCTTCTGCTTGCTCCAATATCTCTATGCACAGCCGATCCTTGGGAGAGGCTTTTCCTTCCTCGGTAGACTTATAGTAATCCGCAGCCCTGGTGAGCCTCTTTGAAATCTGAAGTGCTTTTCTACCATCTGATGTGAGATCAGATGGTTGGGCTCCTTTTGTTAGAAGAGATACTATAATTTTAGGCTCTTTTCGCATTGCAGCAACATGCAGCACAGTGTAACCCCTTGGATTCTTGTGGTTAACATCAGCAATCGCAAGATCAAGAAGCTCCGTTGTGGTCTTTGCATCGCAATATGCGACAGCATAATGTAGTGCATATGCATCATCTAGAGTGGTATGACCCTCTTTCAGAAGCATTCTGACCAATTCAACATCATCTGAATCTAAAGCCCGAAGTATTCTTTTCACATGTTTATCAGGGAAACCACTACTTTCAGGCCCATGCAAGCCAAGTTCCTTACGTGAATCAACAATTTGTTTGGCAATAGGTTGGGGCAAGGTTTTTTCAAGAGTTATGATGTCAACATCGGACCTAATAATATTCTCAATGCACCTCGTAAGCAGTTTCTCACATGCTTTACCACAAATATTTGCAAGAGATAAAACCACCAAAACATCATCTGCTGCAACCTTTTCAAGAATATCTAATAGGTGCCTCTGCAAGGATAGAGATAAAAAGAAATTCAGAAAAGCAACCAGTGACGGTGGGCACACTGCTACAAAAGCCGATAAACGCATCCATGTCATGCAGATACGGACACATATCAATGAAAAGTATCTACAGTTGCGTACTACAGACTTGTCTGCTTTAAGTAATGGAAATTGGGATTCTGACATTTTAGTAGAACAATTGGGCTATCAATTAATATTAAGTACGAAGATCTTAATATTAATTAAAGGAAGAAAGCCCCAATGTGTGCTTTCACTGGTTTCTGTCAATCCAAACTGTCAACACAAATAGCATTCTTTTCTCATGTGCATGCGACAACTGGGAACAATTACAAGCAGGTCTGGTAGCATACTCTATCACAATAAGAGAATCTTAGGAGTTTCCAAATGCACCATGCTCTTAACATATTGAAATTTAATAATTTCACCTTTTACAAAATTGTAGCACTATGAGATTATCTCTTAACATGGTATAACTTCTATGATCTTACCATATATAAGCATTTCTCTCATCATAAAGATTAATAAAGCTCCCTTCCACCATATGAAAGGTGCCAAACTGACTTCAAATAAGTCCAAGCAAAAGCTTGTTTGGTCGTAATGCATGTGTTTAACTCATGGAGATAAATTTGAATTACAATATTTTATGGCATTAGACATACATATCAAATAGAGTTTTGAGAAACTTGTGAACAATTTCAAGATGAAAGGAAGTAATTACAACAGTGAAATCATTCACCAATTATTCCAGGGATTATTTCCAATTTTCAGGTTCATTTTAATAATTTTGTCACATGCATTGCAAAATATGGCCCCAATTTTGTTTAATTAAGGGCAAATGATGCTTGTAGTCTGCCTTGTGTCAATTTGATTCTTATAGTTCTAATTGCATCAATTTTACTATTAAAATTTCCATATTATGCCAATTTAATCTAATTAATAACACCCCTTTACAAAATTGGACTAAAATCAATAGCTAAAATAGTCCATTTTGCTCCTGATTGCTGTCCAATTTCTTCTTAAAGGATTTTATCAATTTGACTAAATCGATACATTGTGAAAAATTAAGGGGTAAGATTGATACAATTGGAAATACATTTATTAACCAAATTGACACAAAAAGGCAAATTGCAAGGACCATGGATATAATTTGCCCATTAATTTATAAGAAACTCGAAACAATTTGATAAGGATTGCTTTCTTTTTGTAAAGATTGCTAAGTACTACTACTATCTACACACATCCTCTATCTCACTCCACCTGGCATAAGCGAAACGAAGGTACCATAAGCGATCACTACCAAATAAGAGTCAAACAGAATTTCAAAAAGCAATTCTCCTGAAATTGGTGAAAAATAGCATTTTTGGACATTAGTAGTAGGTTGATAAAACTAAGGTTCATGATTATACAGTAACTAATCAACGAATACAACAACACTTGCAACATGAAATGAAGAACACACAACTTATTCAAAATTGAAGATGAGAAAACACAAAGAATCACTCAGTACCTGATACAGAGCAACCAATTCAGATATCTGGAAAATGAAGGAAGCGTATAGCACCTCCACCACGAAATCCACGGCCGGCCGGCACGCGGCGTGAGAACACTGGTCATCGACGCAAACACAAACACCTTCCGGCAACGATCTCACCTTTCCACTATACAAATACACCAAAACAACGACCAACGCATCGAAACTCACCTCGAAATCCTTCGCTAACTCCTTCAATTCCAACTTCACTCCTCTCTCTTTGCCGCAAAACACAGTTTTCAGAAACGGACTCCTCGCCGACAAAATGCACCGGTGAACGGCGACTTCTCGGCCGCCGGCGACTGCGATGCTAGCGTCGGCGAAGAAGTCAAACTCCGGAGGAGGCGAGGAATCGAAGATCGACTCGAGGTTTTCGGAGAGTCGTCTCATGGCGGTGATGTCGGGAGGGAAGGGGGGTTCGGGAGAGAGAGATTCGGTGTTGGCGACATAGCATATGCTGCTGCTGTTCCCGCCACTGAGGTCGTTGGAATCTGAGAAACCAGCGCGAGTATCCATGGAAGTTTTAAAGAGAGAAAGTAGGGGAAGTGGAAAGAGAGGAGAGGGGGCTAAAAGTGAGGGAAAAGGGCATGGATTTGGAGAAATCAATCAGAGAGAGAAGATGGCCATGGAGATTGGGAGAAGAGAGGGAGAGAGGTTTTAGAGGGGTAAGATGAAGTCAGAAGAGAGAGGGGTTGGGTTGTCCATCATCGTCGTAAGCTGAGTTCCACAGAGACAGGTATTAAAACAACTTTTATTTTAAGTTTATAAATATATTTTGGATAAAAATTAGGCAGGCAGTTGTATGTGAAAGTTTTATTTAATCCACTTCATTAAATTTTTTTTCCACATGAGACAAAATATCTCTAATTTTTACTCTTTTTTTTTAAATTTTTTTAGGGTTAGAGACAAGTTATAACATGAGGACAATCTCACCTCCTATCACGAGCTCTCTTCCCTGTTGATTCTTAGGCATGGTTTGGAAAAAAAAAGTCAGGTTTTTTTTTTTAAGTTAAAATAGTCACAAAAACTAAAATAAATTTTTTAATCTAATAAAATAAAATATCACATTCAACTCATAATCATTACATTCTTTCTCTCACAAACAAAAAAGTTAAAAAAGCAAAAAATCCTTCCAAAATCAAATATTTTAGCCACAAGTTAAAAAAATTAAAAAATTAAAAAATCAATCCACTTTCCAAACCATACCTTAAAGGATTTGTCTTCTTTGCAGTAGAATTTTTAATTATATCAGACAGAAGAATTTGGCTTCTTCACAGTTAAATTTTTATTTACATCAGACAGTTAAAAAAAATCAATAAGAGTTATTAAATAGAAATTTCTTATTGGTAAGAATTTATAAAAACATAATTTACTTAAATTTTTTCAAAGATTCTCATAAATACGAGTTTTTCATCTAATAACTTTTACCAATCAGAATTTTCTATTTAATGATTTTAACCAGTCAAATACCTCAACTTCCAAGTCATTCCTCATAACAAAATTGTCATAGGAAGTTTAGGATAAATTCCGTCTCCGTCCCTTAAAATTTTTAATTTTATAATAAATACTTTATTTTATTAATAAATTATCAAATTAATTAATAATTTTTAATGATGTTAAAAATTTATTTCAATTAATAATTCAGATGATTTTATTATTGTATAAGAATTCAGTTAGGAATTTTATTTTTTCAATTAATTTTATTAAATAAAAAATTTTGATAAGAAATTATCTGTAATTTTTCAAACTAAAAGAACAATTTATATTTTAAATAAATTTCAGAGAGTATATTTATAATTTACCCTAATGTTTAGTGATAGAATTTCTAAATTTTACATTAAAATGTAATTAAGTTTAGTTTTTATTTTATTTTAATTTGTTTCAAACAAGTTTCAATTGAATCGATAAACAAATATACATAGTATTAATTTATCGAGTGAGTTCAAATTGAATTTAAAAAATAATGAACTTCAAAATATATTCATTTTAGATTGTTAACATGATAAATCACAAGTTTTATCATGATAAATTACAAGTGATATATATAGTATTACTTTTTTTAATTCAAGTTGAATTAAAGAAAGTAATTTAAAAGCTATTCATAAAATAATTCTTATTTATATATTAAATTATTATTTTTTCTTGACAAAGATTTTATTGAAAACATGTTTCGCCAGTATAAATTTTTTTTTCCCTTTCATTTTGACCAAGTGATCAAATTTTCTGATTTTGAGTTATGCCATAAAAAGAGGCTTTACAAAGAATTTTCAACCAAAATGTGTTTAATTTTGATTCTTTCATTTCTAAGAAAAATGTGTCTAATTATTATAAAAATATATTGAAAGCAACTAACAAAGGCAATAAATGTATCATGCCAAAGATAAATTTTCTTGTCATGAGAACAAACTACCTTGTTTTTTCATTTTCCACCCTTTTTTTTTAAGGGTATGTACAAAATTTTAATTAATCTAATTTTTCAAATAGTAATATATATATATATATATTGGTCTCATAACTAAGAGGGGAGAAAAAAAAATATTTCATAACAACAATCACAAATAAAATTGCTTGTATTATTTTTAACTTTAATTTATCTAAGAGATTAAATAATTACTAAAAGATTTCGTTTGGCTATTTGAGTTGGGATTAAAAAAGTACAAAAGATAAAATAAGTTATATAAAATAAGTTATATAAGTTAATAAGACAAATGTTTTGAAAAGTTGATTAAAAGCTGACTTTCTAACTTTTTTAATTTTTTTTTGAAAAAATGTGTAAAAAAATAGAATGTAATCCAAAATAAGTTAAAAGAAAAAAAAAAAGGAAGTGATTTTTTATCCACTTTCCAAAACTAGCCAAAAAGTGGCTTTTTATCCACTTGCCAAAACAATCCAAAAATATTATATTTAAATCATAATTATTTTAATTTTTCTCTCTTAAAAATCAAAAAAAAATTGCCAAACTAATTTTTTGGTTCCAAATTTAAAAAGCTCAAATTCTAAAAAATCAACCTTTTTTTTTTTTTTGGGTCAAACCGCAACTAAATATTTATTAGCTCATTTTTAATTTTAGGGTACTGTTATGGTGTGTAACCCCTTAAGGTTGCACACCATATGCAACCAACACAAAAGGTGTAAATGGAAAGTATAAACATGAAACAGGACAGCAAACAGAAAGGCGTAAGTGTAAGGTGTAAATTGCACACTTAAGAAAAGTCCTTAATTTTAATGTTGTCTACATTTCACAATCAATCGTTTCAGTTTACCACGAAGTTGGGATTTGGTTAAAATATAAAGTAAACAAATAATATATTTAGAATCATCTTTTAATTTTTATGAAAAATGTATAAAAAGTAAAGATAAAATAGAATTTTTAAATTTTTTTATAAATTATTAATTTTTTAATTTTTATACTAAGGGTTCATTTGGTATTGGTTAATATAATTTAATTTTTTTATATTGGAACTTTTTTAGCCTAATCTTTTTTAGTCTTATTTGGTAATTTACTTTTATAAGATCATCTCCAACGTTGCATCAGATTTAGTATCAAATTTGAATTTGATGAAAAAATTAACTTTTTCTATCTCCAATAGTTTCACCAAAGTTGTTTCAAACTGAGAACGGGGCAAAAGTTTCATCAAACTGAGGATCCGTGTGAGATTTTACCATTTCACTGTGCTGTAACGTCGGAGGTGGCTCCACCGATCAACTGGCTGGACGTCTGGCCGGTTGACCTCATGCAAAAATCTGCTTCAATTGGCCTGCGAATTGGGTAAAAAAAATGCCTAACCGGTCGACCTACCAGTTGACTCACCGGATGTCCCCTTCGCTTTTGATGCACACTACAGTGTATCCATAACTATTGGAGCTACTCGTATTAGATTGAGAAAATTAACTTTTTTTTACTCATATTTAATGAAAATTTCTAAACCGTTAAAGATGTTTTAACACGCACATTTACTAATTTCGATACACCAAATGACTAACAATTAACATCACGAATGAAAAAACAAAAATTCCATCAAAGATCTAATACTCAAAAATTTAGAAATTTTCAAAGTTATATTAATTTTTTTATCAAATGTTTCATATAGATATAGAATTTGTATAAGACTTATATGGTATGAGTCTCATATTTATATGAAACATTTAGTCAAAAAAATTGATTATCTATGTGAAACATTTAGTAAAAAAATTGATAAAACTTTTGGGTCTCCAACGTTACTCTTCTCAATTACCAAATTTTTATTCAAACTATTTAGTATGTTTGATTTCAATTTTTTAGATTCAATTTTTTAAAAATTGAATTTTTTTATTTTTCGTATTTTTTGGTTTTAGTGAATATTTTTTAAATTTTAAGCAATATGTTTTTACTTTTTTAAATGCACTTTATTTAGATGTATCTAAAAAGTAAAATATTTGTAAAAAATAGTTTTAAAAATCAATAAATACACAAGAATACAAAAATATATTCAATTTTCATATTTTTTATTATTATATGTTTTTGGTATTTAATGAATTTTCTAAAGATTTTTTTCACAAATATTATATTTTTTAAGTGTGTTTATGTTTGGTGTATCTAAAATTTAAAAAAATTGCTTAAAATATTAAAAAAATTTAGTAAAAACAAAAAAATATGAAAAAAATAAAAAAAAATTCAATATTTTGAAAAGTGAATTCCGAAAATCCAAACCAAATATCACTTGGATATATAAAATTGCATATATTAGTTATTTCTAAATTTTAATTCAAACAACTAGAATTATTTTCCCTGTTGAATTGAGAAGACAGGACTCTCCTTGGTTGTATTTTGTTTTATTTTTTATTTTTTATTTTAATATCTTTAAAAACAAAAATAATGAAAAATTCGAAAGTGCCCATTATATTTCTGTGTTTTATTTTTGTGCCAGAACAGTTAGTGAAACATGTTTTGAAAATTAAAAACAAAAATACAGGCTGAAGTTTTTAGTTTATTTATTTATTTAATCTAAGTAGGGGGTACAATATACTTTTTTTAAAAAATAAAAATAAAATTAGTCCATGGTAGATAACATCTGAAGAATTTTGGATTACTAATTAGAAAGATAATTGGTGGCATTTGAAAAAGTCTTATGTAGTAATAATAAATAATTACCTTGAAAATGGCGGTGGTCAAAGTCAAAGGATGACATGCCTATTCTTTCTTTGATACAAGTTGGAAGTTACATTAAAAAAACAAAAAAGGGACTATTATAATGATGTGATAGCAATTATTCTATTTATATGATAGGAATTATGAAAAAATATTATGAAATATTGTATAAAAAAGTTTTATTTTTGAATTATGAAGTGGTTTAGAAAATTAGTTAAATTTTTGATTTTTTTTAGTTTTTTTACCTTTTTATAAATAAAAAATATGAGAGATGATATGACCCAAAATAAGTTAAAAATTTTTCAAAATATTCTTATATATACCACACACTAATTTAAAAATGAAATTTTTTATGAAATATTTCATAATATTATTTTTTTTCATAATTTCTAACATTACTCTTTCTTTGTTTTTCTTCCTTAAGGAACAATTCAGTTCACTTTCATAGTGTTTATAAGTCAATTTATTTAGCTTATTTATTTAAAAAATTAATTGATAATGTTTGATTATAATTCTAAATTATAACTTGTTGACAAAAGAGAGAGAGAGAGAGGATTTCATTAAATTAAATTTTGTTACATTTTTTTAGTTTATTTAATTA